AAGTTTTTGTTTTGTAACTGGCGAACTTCAGCTCTAGAGCTGAAGTTTTTGTTTTTGTAATTGACGAACTTCAGCTGTAGAGCTGAAGTTTTTGTTTGTAACTGGCGAACTTCAGCTCTAGAGCTGAAATTTTTGTTTTGTAACTAGCTTATGGTTTTCGTGCTTCCCAGAGGCTTAAACTAAATCATCCATCAAAACAGATGATGTTAAGAGATGGCACAAACAAAGGGGTTTTCGTTATGATTCAAACCAGTTAGTCTCAGCATAAACAGATAAAAAAATCTGCGCATTTTTTCTACAACGAAAAGTTTTCAACGCACTTATACAGATTTATGATAAGCTGATTTATTTATTTAAACTTGTTGGTCTCAGTTAGCTGTTGCTTCAACGCATCTATTGCCACCATTCAATCAAGCAAGGACCTTTAGTCACAGACTTCAGAAAGAGGTTGAGGGCGGATATAACTTTGAGGAGGAGAAGGAGGAGGAGAAAGGAGGCTAAAGTTATTTAAAAAGTGGGTACAAGTTAAAAGTTTTTAAAAAAATGGGTATAGATTAAATGGGGGCAATTTTTACCTCATCAGCGCACACCTCTTCCTCTGCCACTACATAGGAAGTGGACAATCAGTGTAAGACTAGTTAGTTTGTTGTTATTTTATTTTATACATGTGTTTCTTTTTTGGTGCTCTTCGATGCAGCAGGGACAAGATGATGTGACATACTAAGATCATGTACAGAAGTATTGTTCTTCGTCTCGACAATATGAAACCTCAACAGTTCCCGTTCTTTTATGGGGTCCTATTAAGATAGGTAGGCTCAAAAACCTCCGTTGTTGTCTTGTTTACTTTTGAATAAGAAAAACTAATCATTTTAACCCACCTTCCTAGCTTTAATTGCCTTAAGCAGGGGCGGATATATGTACATGGTTCTGTGTAGTATGCCACCTGCAAGTTTCGGCGAAAACTTTATGTATATATGTAAATATGTATAACAAATAAGATATATATTTAAAGTGTCACCCCATAAAACAAAAGTGGCAAAGGTGCCAATGGCAAAGGTCTGCCTTTTTGTTCAGCAGGGCAAGAGTTCGAATCCTGGTGGGAGCAAATAATTTTTTGGCTTACATTCAGTTGCAATTTAAGGAGATTAAATACACTACACAGCACACTCTTCTATATTTTACATTAAATGTTTGACTTTTCTGTTTGTTTAATTAAGTATAAACAAATAAGATAAAATAATAATAAAAGTATTCTCTTATAATTAATATAGAAAGTTAAAATCCTTTTTGAGGATCTTTCCCAAATCCCAATTTTTAAAAGGTAAAACAAAGCCCCANACGCCACCCGCAAGTTTCGGCGAAAACTTTATGTATATATGTATATATGTAAATATGTATAACAAATAGGATATATATTTAAAGTGCCACCCTATAAAACAAAAGTGGCAAAGGTGCCAATGACAAAGGTTTGCCTTTTTGTTCAGCGGGGCAAGAGTTCGAATCCTGGTGGGAGCAAATAATTTTTTGGTTTACATTAGTTGCAATTTAAGAAGATTAAATACGCACACTCTTCTATATTTTATATTAAATGTTTGACTTTTCTGTTTGTTTAATTAAGTATAAACAAATAAGATAAAATAATAATAAAAGTATTCTCTTATAATTAATATAGAAAGTTAAAATCCTTTTTGAGGATCTTTCCCAAATCCCAATTTTTAAAAGGTAAAACAAAGCCCCAAATCCCTTACGCCACTTTTCCCTTCTCCAATTCTCGCTGCTTCACCTTCATGCCACTGTTTCTGCTTCTTGCTTCTCTGTTAGACTTTAGCATTTATTTTGCTTTATCTCTCGGATGCTTCACACCTTCGTTGCTCTACGCCCACCATTGTAAAGTTTCCTCACCTCCTCATGTTTATTTCTTAACCCTATGTGGCTATTTTTTTCCCATGAAATATATGTTCTTGCTCATGTTTTTGTTTTGTATTTAGTTGGATTTTAGTGTTCTTGCTAAACTTTATTGTCACTATTTTGATTTTTTTTGTTATGTATTTCTTTGGGTGTGTTTGAAAATCAAATGCCTCTTATATGGTTTCTCTGTAGAATTTAGTATCATGGAAAGAACATCCCAAATAATTTTGATCAAGGAAAATTCAAAATTAACTCTATTTTAACGATGACAAAAATATTAGGGAAGGTTGAGTTATTTAAAATAACAAAACTTATTGATTGTATGACCTACTAGAAATTGGTCTATATTTCTTACTGGAATGAACTTCTATTTTATAGGAACTGAAGTGAGATGGATAAATTTTTCACGAGGTTGGACCATTCTCAACCAAGTCCTAGTTGTCAATCCTTGATCCAAGCGAATGTCAATCTTTCCTATCTTATAAATGAACTCGATTTGGGGTCACTTAAAGGTGATCCAGGAGAAAGAATACCTATTTCTGACTATAACCCTAGAATACGAGATGAAGTAAGGAAACATTACATTCAACAAGGTCCTTGTCAACCTTCCAAGCATCAATTTCCCAAAACTCTAATAGGAGGAAGAATGCGTCAATTTGTTCCAAGTTGGTTCAATGGTCAATTTTCTAAATGGTTGGAGTATAGTGTGAAGAAAGATGCGGCATTTTGCTTATGTTGTTATTTGTTCAAAAATGAATTTATTCATGGAAGTGCGGGTGAATTTTATACAAAAAATGGTTTTAGGGCTTGGAATAAGGGTCTTGAAAGATTGCGTTTACACGTTGGTGATGTTATTAGTGTCCATGATAAATGTTTCAAGAAGATGCTAGATTTATCAAATCATCATCAATCAATTCAACTTGTTTTTGATAAGCACTCCGAGAGGTTAAAAAGTGAGTATCAAATGCGTTTAGAAGTATCAATTGATGTGGCAAGACTTCTATTATTGTATGGATTGCCTTTTAGGGGCCATGACGAAAG